TATCAAAACGTACAATCCGAAAACGTTGCAAAACCGTTGCTACAACGTTGATTTTGGCAGTGACGCTTTGCCGATGTTTTCGCTAGGGCCGGATTAAGGGGCAGTGGCCATGGCCACATGGGCCGCGGTCCATGGCGGCAAATCTAAGGGGCGGCAAAAATATGCAATTTTTTAAAGTGTAGATACATAAAAAAAAATCGGATTTATAAAAACAAAATTACAAACGAGAAAAGGCGGCAAAATCTCTCATTTCCTGAGAGTATTGTAATTTCTAATTTTGTCGTCTCTTAGTGATACAAGAGACAGCACCCTCAATAAGTCGAGTTAAGAGAGAGACCAAACACGCAATTTGGCCTGGATTTGGACTTGGAGAGAAATGATAACGAGGACTTGAGATGTAACGGAGAAGCCCTCAGCGCGGCGGTCGGCATGTAACACATACTAGCGCCTACAAGACTGCACGAATACTTCACGCATTGCATCAAACACAGTGCGGTCATTGCGGTCAGCGTGAAACGGATAGCGCCTACAAGACTGCGTGAATACTTCACGCATTGCGTCCAGCACGGTGCGGTTTGCGCGGCGCGGAGGCGGAAGTTAAAATCATTTGTTCTTTCATAATTGTTTCGTTCATTTCTCATGAATGGAGGGCCTTGTCCACACAGAGATAGGTTTACGGAACTTAACTTTCGCGCAAAGTTTCGTGAACTTTTGCTAGTAGTGTTTACAGGGCTTTCCCAAAAAATGTGTTCAACACGAGTAAATGCGTCTTATGCACCCCTCCCCCGCTGGCACGTTCATTTGATGGTTTTTATTGAGTTTCAAAACGAATGAGACGGGGGCGGCAAAATATAGGCGGCCCATGGGCGGCAAGTAGGTGAATCCGGCCCTGGTTTTCGCGGTAACTTTTCACCGGGCAGGATTGTTCTGTGCAAAATTTCTCTTCCCCCCCCCCATCTCCGGAAACTGTCAAAAGAACAATCCGGAAACGTTGCAAAACCGTTGCTACACTGTTAATTTTGCCGGTGACGCGTTCCCCTACTAAGGAAGAACGCCGAACGAACCTTTCGCATTGCCAAATTATCTATGATAAAACACGAATTGCCTGGTAAACTTAAGAGTATTTTTCTTCCAGTTTTAGATCTGAAAATTTAAAGAGAAAACATTCATATCTTTCCTAAAAAATGAACGTTTTATCGAAGGAAATTTGGCAACTATCGAATGTTCATACGGCGTTCTTCCTTAGTCAGGGCCGGATCTACCTACTTGCCGCCCATGGGCCGCCTGTATTTTGCCGCCCCCTTCTCATTCGTTTGGAAACATCAATAAAAACTATCAAGTGAACATGCCGAAGGTGGAGGGGTGCATAAGACGCGTTTACCTACTCACGTTGGATACATTTTTTGCGAAAGCCCTGTCAACAGTACCAGTAAAATTTCACGGAACTTTGCGCGAAAGTTAAGTATGCCGTAAACCTGTCTCTGTGTGGACACTGAAGAAATGAACGAAAAAATTATGAAAGAACAAACATAAATGTGGTTGAATAATTTTAACTTATTCCGCCGCCGCGCTGATATTGTGTTTGGTGCAATGCGTGAAGTATTCCTGCAGTCTTGTAGGCGCTATGCGTGTCACGTCAACCGCTCCTGACCTCACTGTGTTTGACGCAATGGGTGAAGTATTCATGCAGTCTTGTAGGCGCTAATATGTGCTACATGCCGACCGCCGCGCCGCGCCGAGTGCCTCTCCTTTTCATCTGAAGTCCTCGTCATCATTCCTCTCTGCGCTGAGCTCCAGGCCAAATTGCGTGTTTAGTTCCTCTCTTAACTCGACTTGTCTCTTTTATCACCGAAAAACGAAAAAATTCGAAATTACTATACTCTCAGGAAAGAGGGATTTTGTCCCCTTTTCTCATTGATAATTTTTTTTTCTGAATCCGATTTTTTTTATACCTGCATTTAAAAAAATTGCAAAATTCGCCGCCCCCTAAATTCGCCGCCATGGGCCGCGGCCCATGTGGTCACCCCCTTAATCCGGATCTGTCCTTAGCGCGGCAGTGCGGATCAGAACTTTCCGCTTGGAGGACACTTGGATTGTATTTTGCACTAAGCACGGCAGTTTTGACGACGTAATATCAGCCACATTTTAGCGGGCGGGACTGTTTAGCGCAAATTTTTTTTCGGCCCCCTCCCCTCCACCAATCTCCACCCTCCATCGCTCTTCCTCTGAGAGCCATCTCCATTATACTGAAGTAGAGGAAAGTCAAAAGTTCATCGGGGTCTGGCTCCGAGCGCCTTTGTTAGCTAGTCACCTCTCGCCGAGAAACGGAAGGCTCACAGTGGATCGTGGCAATTAGAGAGGTCGGACAGGATATTTTTTACTAAACCCGCAAATTTTTACGTTTATTTCGTCAGATTTTAAACAACAAGGGGTGCCTCTTGAAGATAATTTCACGAGGAAACCAATGCAATCAATTTTAGAACTTCCAAGTCTTGTATAAACGGAGTTATAAGCGTATAAAGTTTGCACACATTTTGTCCGACTTCTCTCATTGACTCGATCCAGTGTGTGGCGCGACGCTGCGTATCGCAAGCACCTCCGAAGATGCGAAGACTATGGCACAATTTCCGGCGGAAGCAGTAGTCTTCCGACGGCGACAACAGTGCAACTCAACACGTTGAATAGGAACCGCGGATCAATACGAACGGCCTGGCGCGCGATTCATGAATTTCGTTCGATTTTGATGAATGGAGCCCGGCCCCTGGCGGTCATGTTTTCGAAGAGGGCTCGGAAGTAGTCACGGGGCGCCGAGCGGGTAGGGCGGAAGCGCCGAAAACAGTTTTTATTCAGAATCTTCTGCCATGAATAGAACTCCCACCACAAGGCGTCACGCCCGCGACCAAATCTCCCCGGCGCAAACCTATCTTGCTGTTTGAAAGTGGTCATTTTTTGCACGATCCGGCAACCGCGCGCAACACCAGCTCCACCTCGCAAGTTCGAGGCGAACTTCTGCTGATCCTCAGACTTCATTCTGCGTCCACCTCCTTTGTAAATACAAAACGTGGTTATGTTTTTTTATTTTGGTCCCCTACGAGCAGCTTATCCGTGCAGTTCTCTCTATTTTTAACCAGAGTTTGGTGAATTATGTTCCCTCTGTTTACTGTGCGTTCTCTTCGGCTCCCCCCGTCGATTCGCACCCACCTTTATTCATGAATCGCCCATTAATAAGTGTGAGTATGCGTTCCTTCATAGTTCGTCCGGAAATCGTTGCTCAATTCGCGGCTCTCAAGTGGCGAAACGGGTCTGTAAACTGATCGGAAATTTTCCAGCTGTTCAGTGCGAAGGTGTAGTCCGGGATTCTAATGGATCGTGAGTCGGTGTTTTCAGATTCGATCGTCGTGTTCCTAGGTCTGTGCAATTGTGCAATTTTCCAACTTGAATATCCTGTCGAGTTTTAGAATGTCAGTGTTATTTTGATCGCGTTTGATAATGAATACGAAGGTCTCTCTATCCTGCTGTATCCGATGTTTGTATCTTCCAAGTGTTTTTTGACGCATATCCGAACGTTCCACCTGCAATTTTTTAACCTTCAACTTACAAACAAGATTAAGAGACATGTTTGGTCAAGTTCAGTTTACTCAAGGCCAGTGAGTAATCACTAGGAAGATCATTGCTGTTCACAAAATTCTCCACCAATTTCACATACGTATCTTGAAGGAGTGTGTCAATTCTGTTCAGTTTTTCATGGCATGGAACTTTTTCACTACGGAAGACCAGCAGGAACAGCTATGTCGAAATGTTCTGACTCTTGAATACAATGATTAAGCACTGAAAGATTCGGAAAAGAGAAGCGTGCGAATTAGACTTGATACATCAATTTAGTATACATTTTATGGAAATCAAAGCTTTAGTAGAATACTTAATGATAACTACAACTGTTGATCTGGATCTCATAGTGTTTTGAAACAACGCTGATCAAAAGTCTGATCTTGATAATAATCAGTTTTGTAACGAATGCATTCAGCTTAGTTTCCCTGCTTCTCCCTGCAACTCGGTTGTTGAAACTTTAACTAGCTTTGTCGGTGCGATAAGATAAGCTATAGTCCTATTTGCGCTGTGTTATATATTGATTTTCGATTCTTGCCATACCGACATAAGTAAATTTCAACAATCAGGCTGCCGATGAGCCTAGCTAAGTCATTCGTAAGTTATAATGTTGCAACTTGACATAATTTTGCTGCAAACTTGTTCTTTAATATCAAGGTCCATGCCATTAGACTTCACCACAGAGACTCCTTGAGATTTTACAATGATTTTTCTGGTATATTAACTTGGAATCAAATGATAACAATCACATAAACCCTTGCTATACAAACACTCCAAACTCGATTTTAAGCTGCATTGTCAAAGCAAACTTGCTCATCTGATACGTTTGGGTCCTGAAACATTTCAACTTAACTGTCCAAGCCACCTCTGCGAATTGTATGGGGCTAGACACCTGGAAATTTTGAGCATTCACATGTAAACACACAATATATTTAATAACTTGAATGGAGTTGTGATTTTATTTGTGATTTCACAGAATTGTAACATAATACCTCCTTGATTTCTGGAACTGTTTAAAATGTAGTTGCAATCATTTGTTTCTTTGCTACCGACAAAAATTTTATATCGACGGTGTAAGTCCGCAACCACATATCTCGGTTTGCAACATCGCAGACTTCCTGTCATGTTTTATTTTTTAACAGAAAACTACTCCATGGCAACTCTTTAAAACTACCGCAATTTTTCTTCTCTGTGCGAAAAAAATTCTGCACAAATTTCAAAGAATGATAGCAACTTGTTCGGCCCCTCTAAAAAATAATTTACAGGCGGAGATTTTCAAACACTGCAAACGAGATACATGGTACAACTTACGCTGTCGGTATCTAGGTATGTATAGCGTCAATAAATGTATACTAAGTATACCCATTTAACTTTCTTTTCTTTTTCTGTTCCAGATTACGGTTATATTTAGTTAAACCTTGACCAAGTATACGTAGCAATCAATCATGACACTATCTGTGATATATCTAAGGAGTAAGCATGCTTGCAACCTGCACTGACCACTGATGCTGTCCAATCTTCTGCTCTGCCAGAATCATGAAGATTTACCGACCCATGAATCGATTTTCTCACAGCATTATCTGCCTTTCGTTGGCATAGGTAAGTTGCGGAGTAGTTCATTCAAAAATACTTTCCACACTTGTTATGGTTAAATAATAGTTTTTGTCATCAGAAATTATCTACATAAGCCTCTCTCAAGTAGGTCCTTTTTGAATTTTTAAAATGTTGTTTCAAAAAATCCTAGATACTCTGAAGAAAAATAAAATGGGGGAGTGGCAAGAAATTTTCGAAGGGTTGTATTACAGTTGCACGTAGGTAAAATTTTGTGAACAAGCCTGATAAGTCCTCAAAAAGTTCAGAAAGTCGTTTCTCAAGAGAGAAAAAGTGATCTAATGTACGACCAATCTAAAGCCAACAGTGGCGTTAAAGTAGCAAGGAAATGCCTGAATATGAGTTCAGACAAGTAGCAAATGCCCTTTCCTCTGCTTGGCTATGTCATCACAGCCTGTCAAAAATATTGCTTCAAATGGTCCTCATTTTTGGCATAAAACAAGGGTTCTTTGCCGATTAGGGTAAAAAAAAATCCAGAAAATTCCTAGAAGTGTAAATCACACTGTCCTTTCAGAAGATTGACTCAGAAAAGAGGATGCTTCTGCAGGGTGTATACAAATCCGGAAATAGTACTGTTTTATTAAGAGCGGTCCGGAAGCACTGCAAGAGTGCGGAAATTCTGCAAGAGGTCCAGAATTTTTTTCATTTTTGTCATAATATGATCGAGAGATTCAAATTTTTGAAATTTTTCGAATTTCTTCAATTGGAGGCTCTGATAAAGTAAGTACTGAATTTCTTGGGATTGCACAGAAAAAGTACTGTTAAAGTACTGATTTTTGGTCAGCCTGTTTCAGTAGACACCCTGTTCTGACCCACTCACTTAATCGCCTCTTTTCCATTAAAAACATTGACAGTTTGCAATTTTGAGCCAGAAAAACGCTAATGAAGGACTGAAATGCCCAAAAATGGAGTCCTAGTAGGTACTCTAAGAAACAAGTGGAGCGTAAAAAATCAGATCCTGTCAATTTGAAGAAGTGTATCTATATTTTCATTCGGTATGCAAGAGTTAATCTGAAAAATTCTGCGATGGGCCTCTAGATGAGGTATGAATGAAAGCATAATGCTAAGTACAAGCTTTTTCTTCAAAATTCCACAAGGAAAATGAATCATACAACAGGAAGGCTGAAAATCATTTACCTGAACAAGACCAAAGACCAAATAACCAACCATTACCTGAACAAGATATGAGTGTTTTCTAGTAACATTGATTGAATGGCAAAAATGCAAACAATGTCATTTGTGTAATCTAACTTCTATTTGATCTGGATTCATACTTCAGAAACTTTTCTATTCTTCTCCTCAACTCATTTTTGTTTCAATTCTATTTTGCAGATAATGATGTCAAGATGGGAGTTCTGCCTGTTGATAACACGATTGACCAAAGCGAGTTGTACTTTAAAAGACCTTGGAGGCCCGATTGGACAGTAACACAATTAACGGCTTTTGTCGGGGTTTCTGTTGGATTTTTACTCCTGGTGATTTTTTTATTCATTTACAAACAATTTTTGCAAAACCGAGGCATTTGAAAGAATTGTGTGGTAATTTTTACCCGAAGCAAGTCATCCTGAAAAAAATTAGGGAAAGCATTGATATTGCTGTCAATAAAAAAAAAAATAAAATAAATTAATAAAGTATAGCAGGTTTATAAAAAAAACGAATGTATCTTCATGACTCAATACACAGCCTAACCATTGAGAATCCTTCCTTTTGAAATTTAACACGAAATATTCAGAAAACTTAATTTCATTTGCTCTTGAACCAGGTTTTTGGATTGAAAACTAGCCATCTCTTTTAATCTATTTTTAAAGAATCTGTGTTTATTGTAGCTTTGTGAAGATGGGTTCTCTTTGGCCATTTTTATCCCAATGTTGCTTATAGAGAGAGAGAAAAAAAATAGAGTAATGATTTTGTTTTTTCTTATTGAATGCAACTCTGCAAGTTAGCCGAATCGACTACAATTGAAAGTTTAACTTTCTAAGTATATGATAATCTATGATATTTTAAACATGAGAGGCTTTTCAGTAAGTTTGCTCTGAAATTTATGAGGATGGAAGAAAGTTTGATATTAGTCTGGGAGCCGGACAACATTCTGTGATAAACTCGAGACACAAGTATTTACCACATAAATCAGTAGCCTTACGCTCATTGACATGGAGAATAGTCGTTGGCCACATTGTAGCGTTTACCAATACATGGCAGACAAATATTTTCTGTGTCAGTTCAAATTTAAGTGGTCAAAATTTGTGTCCCAAGTTTGTCATAAAATGTAGTCGGGCTCTTGGACTCTATGTTTTTATCATATGAGACCATTTGATGGAATAGGGACTTAAGTGTACAATTATTACTTATTACTCAAAATTGAAAGTTAAATAATATATTGCAAAGGAGGATTCTGTGAATGTCTTCCCACATAAAATGATAAAATAGTGGCACTGTTAAACTTCATTTTGATACTGATAAAAAAAACTAACAGCTGTTTTATGTGTGAATCAGATTTTAGTTTGGCTGCGAAGGCAAATGTCAGCGGGGAGTTCACCAGAGATTGAAGACGAAAAATTAAAAGAAGAAAACAAACCATCTCTGCGGGAAGCTATTGCGGCCCATGAAGAGCCTGTGATCGAAGAGAAAATATCCCCACTCACCCTGGCGCCTTTAACTACAACACCACCACTCCCCCCTGTAACGACAGGTTAGTAGAATCCTCAAGGTATTTTTTGATAGTTCACGAACATGCGAATTTTTGAGTGTATATCTCTGAAAGGTCAAATAAATTGGATGTGTACATGTACACTTGATAAGTGCATACTTTTATTGCTCACATCAATGTAATTTATTTTTAAAAAAAATTAAAGCGAGAGAGCGTAATTCAGAAAGATTTCTGATAATAGATCTTAATCATTGCTCATGCCTCCCGAAACATTTATTTGCTCTTAATACTTATCCATTTGTTCAAGCTGGTCCTTGAATTGGAACATTTTGGCTGAAATTAAAGTCCTACCCTTTGTCAGGATCCAAAAATAACAACTCATTTTTCACTAAAAAGTCTGCCACAGATATGTAAAAATTCTGTTTTCATTACGAAAATTTTTATGTGTGTTTTAAATGTGCTTCAGGTTTACGCACTAGCATAATCCAGAGCAGTCATCTAAGATGCGAAACTATAAAGAAAAAGGAGATAGTTCTTGTCAAAACAAAAGGGCTATTGGAAAGGCGCGGATCCAGCGCCAACTTGACAATTGGTGTCCTTCATCCAAGCGAAAAAGTACCTCCTCCTGTCACACCCACCAAAGAGTGGTAAGAATACTTAATTTTGTCAAATATAAATTTCAGTGTAGATAAGCTGATTATTATCAAATTTAAAATGGTCACGAATCTATTCACATACTCAAATATTTTGTCCAAACAAATTTTAAATTTTTTTATTTTTTGATTTACTTTATTTCAGCACTGCTGAGGAGTATTTAATGTCAGTTGGTAATGTTCTCAGCCGGTCACAACTTAAAAGTAGTTTAAATGATATTCGAGGTCTTCACAAGGAGTTCTGGGACATACCCTTGAATCATCCCGAAAAGTCCACAGTTGCAGGGTGCGGTGTAAAAAATAGGTAAGTCCATGTTATCTTTTTTTAAATTTATAATGGACTCATTTCATGAGATGTACATAAAACATTTCTTCTTTCCTACACAGTATGCAAGGTACTAGTGAAAACAACTGTCACCAGATTTTTGAAAAGGCTTTCTATCATGTAACGTGTTTGTTTTGATCTGTATGAACAGCAACATCGAAAATTCGCCACCTTAGGGGATAACGCTGTTTTAGAATCCACAAACCTGCAAGAGTGTTGGCACCAAGCTTCAGACTTCTAACATAACTTTCCATTAAGATATGAACAAAAAATCGGATCATATCTAAAAACAGCTGATGTCAGACTTCCCTATTTATCTGAATAATCTTTTCTGCATGAAATTTTGATGAAAAAACATGTGCTGTAGCATTTAATTTTTTACCTATCTAGTGGTCAATTAGAGAGAACAATACCTATCTCACTCCTACCTCCTATTTTTTAGGTATCGGACTATCCTGCCCAATGATAAAACGCGAGTTCGTATCAATGGGGACGAAACCCTGGATGGATACATCAATGCAAATTTCATCAAAGTGAGTGCCATTTTGATTTGGACCTTCTGCCCTACCCGACCTAAAATGATGAAAAGATAAATGATGAAATGATAAATAATAAAAGTGATAACCTGACTTTCCTCCCTTTTTTCCCTGAATCAAAAATTAGTATCACATCAGAATTGTTCCCTAAATAATGAAGTAAAATTTAATAGAAAAATCAGGTGAAAGTAAAAATTTAAAAAGATTTAAAAATTACCATACCTCCTGTCATAGGTCTTAAGTCAACCCAATAAAACAGAAAGGAACTTAGTTACATTGAGGGAAATATTAAAATGGGAGTAGTTTTAAGCTTCAGTAGTAGCTGCAAATTATTTCTTGTGGAAAATCTTGAGTCAAGAAAAAATGTTTTAATAAGAAAATGCATGTTGAACTTAATCTCTAACATTATGTCTCATATACCTTCAAACGGCTCTTTCTTTCTTTCAATAGATGAAAGTTTCCTTCCTATTAAATTTGTTGAAAGATAAAATGATAAATAATAAGTCAGTTTGTACCTAGTCCTGGCCTGTTCCTTCTGAATATTGACCAGTCCTGGTGACTGAAGTAGAAAATGGACAATGAAGAAATTAAAAAAAAATTGTGGTTTCCTGTTAATATCTTTTCACATTCTTTTTGACAGGGATTTGGGGATGAAAAAGCATTTATCGCCACTCAAGGGCCCCTACCAAACACAGTCATTGATTTTTGGTCGATGGTCTGGTGTGAAAATGTGCCTGCTATTGTTATGATTACAAGACTGCTGGAAAAATCATGTCCTAAGTGCGAGGCGTACTTCCCGACAGGCAAAGACGAGAGCTGTAAATACGGAGAAATTTCCGTCACAGTTCAGAGTATTCAGATCAAAGGAGGATATGTTATTCGGAAGTTGGATGTTCAGGTAATGGATGACTTTAGCCAGGTGCTCAATAACTAAAATTGTTTTTACTTGTAAATGTTCCGTGTACTCTCTTTGTCATACTATACCTAGGAGGTGAGCCAGGAAAAACATTTTTTTTTTCCCCATCGTTATAGTATAATGTGAAAAATTAAAAAACATACATCTGATAACATCATGAAAGTCCCACTGAAAAAATTCTTTGATCCACAGTTTCATCATTTTTGAAAGTTTTATGTTAGAAAAACTAAAAAATTGTCATGATTTTTTCGTTTAAAGGGGCCACAGTCTCAAGGCTTCTTCAAGCATTCAGAAAATAATTTTACTTCATCATAATCAGTAGAATGGTAGAGCAATGACTTTTAGCTAAATACTAGCGTAGATTTGACCTGTAACTATCCTTAGCGTTTGGAATCAAAAGAAAGAAGAAACAACTTAATCAGCCCGAAACATTGACAAAAAAACAACTTAAATCATGATTAAGGTCGCAAATAATAAAAAGAAACACATAAAATGAAATAAAAAACCCCAGACGTTTCGCAGGGATCACACCCGCATTTTCAACCGGCAAGAACAAAACAAAAATTTAGGAAGAAAGACACTATGAACCTCACCGCTGTCATTGTGAGACAGATAGTGCAACCAAAGTAAACAAGCAAGTGCAACTTGAAACAAAGCACATCGAAACAAAGACTACTCAGGTGTTTCAGCTCCATCTAGGCCCGAAAGGAAGAACTGGTGATAAATGCCAATGAGTCCATCCGCACCAGCGTGGTAATTACAAACTTTATTTCTATTCTTGAGGATGTGAATCATCTCTAGTAGAACCCTCGGAAAATAATACTGCTCAGAAGCTAGAAAAGCATTAGCAATCTTTGTGATCTCTCTGAGTAATCTCTGTTTTGATGTGCTTTGTTTCAAGTTGCACTTTGTTTATTTTGGTTGCACTATCAGTCTCATAATAACAGCGGTGAGGCTCATAGTGTCTTTCTTCCTAAATTTTTGTTTTGTTCTCGCCGGTTGAAAAGCCGGGTAAAATCCTTGCAAAACGTCCGGGTTTTTTATTTAATTTTATTTTATGTGTTTCTTTTTATTATTTGCGGCTTTAGTCCTGATCTAAGTTGCTTTTTTAATCAAAAGAAATACATGCCTCGAACAATTAATTACATCTGTTCATACTTTCCAGAAAAATAGAAGTAGAAAATAGGGAATGAAACTTACAAGGAGAGGAAGAGGCACTGGAAGACTACTAAGGGAAGAGGCACATACCACATTATTCAACTAGCGTTTTACCTCTAAAAAATTCATAGAGTTGATTGAAATCACTTGATTAATCAAAAATAGAAATTGAAATTGATAATTTCAATGGAATTTTCCTCAACTAAAATCCGTGCTATCGTTCTCATTTCAGAAAGACGATGAGACCCGATGTGTTCTTCACTTTTGGTATGATTCCTGGCCGGACCACAAAGCGCCACCAAACCTGTATTCTCTCTTGTACCTAATTAAAGATGTTGAGCTATCACGTTTTTGTCTACCTCTCAAGTTCAACTCCCCGGGGCCTGCGCGAAGTCCGCGTGTACGCAAGGCCTCCTCGCTAGAGGAAGACTCCATTAGCAAAGACTCCTGTCGGTTTGAATCGGAAAGTCCCGTTTCTTTAAGGGGATCCACGCCTATTCTCCCATGCAGTCATCTAAGTTTCGATCAGTACGAAACAGAAACCTACTCCGACAGTCCATTCTTCACAGAGACCAGGAGCAAGGAAGAAGAGGTCTCAACACTCTCAGATAATTACCTAACCGCATCGGAAAGTCTTTACTCGTGGGACGATGCTCTGAGCAGTCCCAACGTGAAGGGTAAAAAAAGTAGTCCACTCTCCAAGGACGATGAGAGGAAAACGGAGGTCAAATACTCACCCCTAGTTTCTAAGTGGCAGTCTTCGTTAGAAAGCGTTGATGAAATAAGCTGTAGCTCTGAAGTCAGTTCTAGTGTGCCGTCAGGCAAGAAAAACTCATCAGATGATAGTGCGTTAGGGCGATATTACCCGAGCTCGGCTGGGTATTGTGAGTCGCCGCGTGGCAAGACCCGTTCTCGACCGTTCTTTTTCAACTTCGAAAACGTTTCGCTGGAGAAAACAAAGTCCCTCGATAATTCACAGCTGTCCTGTTCGCTTTCGAAGTTAAGGAAGCCTGATTCTAGTCCCTCTAATAGATCTGATGTTTTTAGTTTCGAGAACCTATCCATCGAGTCAGAGGAGCCGGAGCCTCGCTCGAAGCCCAAGCTCCGGCGAGCGACTGAGATGTCAACAGACAGTTCGATCTGGTCACAGCCAAGTCCTGACTACTTGTTCGAAGTGTATGGATCGCCCAGTTCGGAAGCCCCTGAAGTGCAAGAGCCGCAAGAGATGGTGTCTTCGGCGTCAGTGAGTTTCAGCGAACCGACAGTGGGTACGAAAAGACAGGGGCCAGTGGTTGTGCACTGCAGCGCAGGTGTCGGAAGGACAGGCTGTTTCATTGCCATTAGTCTTGGATGTAGCCAACTACGGGAGACGAATAGTGTGGATGTCCTCGGTATTGTTTCAAGGATGAGATGTGATCGGTAAGCTTTTCAATGATTGTTGCATTGCAAGTTCTAAGAATGTCTGAAGGTGTAGAAAACTTCAAAAAAGTCAATACTACTGTAAATTCATACAGTTTCGAAACAGCCAATGAATTTTTACAAGTGGTAATTCGCACAAACCAGAAATTCTATATTAATCAATGGAAAAAAACTATGAAAATGCTGGATCTTTAATTTGGTTGGAGGAACATGAAAACTAGCAGGAATTTAAGGGTAAAACACAGAAAAAACAAAAAATTTTGACTGTTGGTAGTAACAGTAAATTACAATATTTAGCTCCGACCGACAGGATGGTTTCAAAGCTGATTTTTGTCTTTTTGCATGTTCGCAACAGTTTGGAGAAAGCTCATTAAAATCACAGCGAAATGCAGGAAATGTGAAATTCACAAATGAAACTCTTTTTGATGCTGAATCTATCAATGTTAGCCTTTAATAAGAAAAAAAATGATGTTGAGTGTAAATTCTTTAATAAGTCACAGTGTTCACAATCCTCTTGTCATCCTTAGTATCTAGACTTAGATTTATTTTATACCCATAACAACTTGAAAAAAACCTATTTACAATTGGACCTAGTTAAGCAGAATTAGCTTGACTAGTTCACTTTGCCAAATTTCCTCTTAAATTGTATTCCTTTAACAGAAAACTAAACAGTACATCACCTCAAAACATTCTTTGAATTTCAAATATTTTATACAGAATGTACCTAGGTACAAAATTTCATGGTGGAATGTCACGTAGTTTTCACGTTTTCCCCCATAGAAACAATCATCAGGCCTCTGTAGAGAGTCTTAAATCTTAAACTTTCATTCCTTCCTGGAACCTGTTATAACTCTTCAATGATTTTTTTATTTTCTCTCTCATAGTTCTCATACAAGGTTGCGGTATTCAAACAGGACTGGAAAAAAAACCAAAAAAAAGAAATTAAGACATTTTTAAATAATCAGGTTTTAATAAGTTCATGGATTGGTCAAAAGATGGAGAAAAGTCTTATGAAATCTTGACTTAAGTAATTTACCAAACTTGAAAATTTATTCTCAATGGTCAGCCCTAATCAAGTAGTTTTTGGTTTTTTCCCTTTGCTAGCCTTAATTTTTAAAACTATTCCCAACCAGAATTCTTAATATTTTGCCTAGTTCCACCAAAAATTCGCACCTCACAAATCAATTTCAATTCAAAGTTTTGATGAAAGATAAGTACAGCACTTCGATTCAGCTTTTGTGTAGTGGTTTGTCATCTATGTACATGATATCATTAATTCACTTTGGTGATTGATTTATTTCAGTGGTGGAATGGTTCAGTCCGCAGAGCAGTATGAATGCATTCACAGAGCTCTTGCCCTATTTGAACAGTGTATGCCAGAAGAAACAGAAGGTCCAAAGGAACCAGAGAGCAAGTAAAACTCTCCCTAAAATGGATGACAATTTAGACTGAGGTGAGTACTTTTGTTTATAACTTTGTTCAATCAATTGGCTACAAGGTAAAGGGACCTTAATCTATAGTGGAACGTTTTTGCGGAGAGCAATTTTTCTCAAGTTAAACATTTTTTTGGGTATACATCTGCATCATGAATTGACAATTTTAAGTCTCAAAATTGGTAGTTAAAAAGTTAAATAAGTTCCCCTCCAATGCTATTGTTTCTGTCAGACCTGAGAAAGGTTCAAGAATAGGGCAAAACTGTTGCCACTTCTTCAAAGTAGGTGCCACCAAGTGAGCTGAACACGAGAAGAGGAAGATACCCTTGGTTCATAAATCAAACAATTATTGGAGGAAATGCGACAAAGTAACCTAATTTTCTAAAATACATGTGTTTAAATGGGAAATGCTGCCAGACGACTTCACCAGACGGTACATTTTCTCACTTTTAAATATATTTTTATACTATTTCCTAAAGCAGAAAAAGATTATAAAAAATACTGCAAAATCAGCTCCTCAGGCACTTTCAGATGAAGCTATAAAAAATTTGCATGCAAATTCTCCATTCTATGAATTTGGTCTGAGGGAGTGCCATCTAAAATCATTTAATGACTTTTTTAGTCCTAAACTCCAACTTCTCACTGTGCAGCTCAATTTGTTCGTATTTCTTTTTTTTTTATCACCAATTCATTCTTAGTTTGGCAGTATGATTGTGTGTGCATCATGTAATTGATCAAAATAACATTTGTTTGACAGCTTTTTCAAGATGTTTTTTTCCTTTTCAGGTTGCAGCTATAGCTATTAGCCAGGAATGGCTACCAGACCTTCCTCTGAAAACATTACGTTTTATTTTTAATTCGGTTTGGGGGTTGGGGGCAGTTAATTTATTTTTATCAATTTCTTGTACGAAAAGAATCTGTAAAAAGGAGAGGTTTTTACCATCAATAATTTATTGAATAATGTTTGCATTTTGTTTAATTTTTATTAGAACTCTGAGATTTTATTTATTTTTAATGTATATTTTCCCCTTTTTTATGTAGTGACGTACTTCATCGCATTAGATGTTCCATGTGATTCACTCGTTAATTAAGTATCAGATTGTTGTGTTTGATGTTATAACAACTCTTTATAACTGTTAAGCTGTTATAACTCATGTAATAACCTTTTGATTGATAGGCAGATCAGCTTTTTGCATGTCTAAGCAGTAGGCTCTGGATGTTCTTTGTCTATTTAATCTAGACTCTCTCACAAGACAGACAGTCATATCACTTGATACCGTTTTGTTTTGCTCCTCTATATATGATGGCTCTGGCATGGTCGTCACTCTGTGAAGCGGCCGTTCTTTTGCTCTTGTTTTACTCTGATTATGATTCACAACTCTCAACATTGTACCAGTAGATAGTAGAAATATGAACAAGTCCTTTACATTTGCTTAAACATTAACATTTTGCATGAGAATAAAAAAATAAGCAAATAAAATTTGAAAAAATCATTAATGATCACTGAAATAAGTAATAAAAAAAAACTTTTATGGAGCCTGAGTAGTTCTGAACTCTATTTTCCATAAAAAAAATCTATCCCTCCTAAAATTTTGTGTTGCCCGAGAATTTTTGTTAACTCTTATCAAGAAAGTATTTAAATCATAAAATCTTTTCACTATGTCTGCAACGTTGCAAATGGAGATACATGGTATCGCACTTTGGCCATGGATATGTTGCTTACTTTTTACTTATGCTATGTTACATCTCTCTTAAAATAATCAGAGTTAAACTTAAAAATTACTTTGTTAAGCTGAGCTCATGACTTAATTTAGAAAGAATAACCTGACAACCACAATATTCAGATTTTACTGCCAGTTTTATTATGAAATCTTTTTGCAGTTCTCATAAATAGTACCCCTCAAAAAGCCTTTTTTCCGATGGATCAACCACAAAATCCCTAACGGGAGATGCCACCGAATACTGCCAGATTACCAGGTTATTTTCAATTTTAAAATCGGAAGGAGCTAATTATTTAATCCGATTTTATTTTGTGTAAGATAAATTTTATGTCACTTTAAGGTTCAATCCACAAATTTTTTCATTGTATCTTATTACAGACTGTGGTATCATTTGTTTTGGTTGTTATGTCACCACAAGGTTCAATCTACACATTTTTTCATTGTTTCCCATTGCAGTCCATCGTACAATTTGTTTTGGTCCTTCTAATTCTTAAGTTTTCAATGCAGATTTTACTATCTTTGTGAGCTGCATTTTCATCAGACAGAAAGCCAACCGACCATTTTCTCTTTTAGATATTGATGATAAAACTTAGAAAACATGTATCATAACTTCATGCAGCTCAACAAAATTTTCACTTGTATCTGATTCATTTAATGGCATAAAGTAACTACATTTCAACACTAATTAATGATAAACTTAAAGAAAAACCCAAATAGAGATAAAATATCGTGAGCACAGAAAAAGAGGGTAAAACATTACCTAAAATACCACGCCGAGAGTATTAAGAAATTTGGCACTGGCTAAATTTCAAGATTTTTTTGTGATGCTCCTTTGATCTCCTGTGTAAGACAAACTTTTGCAATTGACTTTTCTTCGTGCCAGTCTCTAAATAATCAGGTCTGAATAATAATAATTTTTTGGCAGTTTGACACGCATAAAATAATGGAAGTGATTGAGAAGTGAGCTCCTGTTTCCTCATCTTGCTCTGGCTGGGGAGATAAGGCAGCGTTTGACAGACTCAGTGCAAAACAGAAGGCTCCGTATCTTTGACTCAGGGACACTGTTACTTTTTTGTATGACCATACGAGTGAGTGAAATTCTCAAAAAATCCACTTCTCCGACCTGATTCTCCTAGATATTGGCAAATAAAAAATTTGAAGTTAAAGCTCTTTTTATCGGGATGCATTTTGGTTGTTTGATTTTACCTTTGTTTTTCCCCCAATCACATTGGTTGTAGATTTTAGTTGGGGATAACTAATTTGATCATCAGATCATCCTCAGGCCACATGGTAAACACTATTAAGTCACATGGTAGACACTGGTAAACTTATTAAAAAACATTCGCAGGTGCACCTGCCGCGATCGCGTCATTCGTATCTGATGATCAAAATAGCTATCGCCAACTAAAATCTACAACCAATGTGATCGGGGGAAAAACAAAGGTATAATGAAAAAACCAAAAAATTTGATATTAAAAGCTCATTTTACTCAGGAGATGGTAAGTATTGTAGAAGAAAATCTGGAATTTCAGCTGAGGTTAACTTTATTAGCATTCTGTGCGTAGTTCTTTGAAACGGTACTTTGGAAAGTCATGAATTAAATTGAGAAAACTGAAGTTTTTCAAGAGCTTCTGCTCAGTGATGGACGAGTGTATCCAATGATATTATTGTATTCTCTTTAATTTTCCTTTTCAATTTATTTTGCAAGTTCAAATTCAACCTACGTTTTACCTTCTGTCTTCTCTGATTTTGTTTACTAAAGTTTTCATTGTCTATCTATCACAACGAGGTTAGAAAGTTTAAAAGTTTTCGAAGAAAGGACATCGATAAGTTTTTTTTAAATAATAAAATTTAAGAGAAACCATGCTGCATTACAAATTAAGAATTAAGGCATCTTGAAGCAAAGGGAGCAAAGTCGATTTTGCTCATGAGCCTTTCAACTCTACTTTTCCCATGTATCCTGGAGCTCATCAGCAACATCGACTTTGCTCCCTTTGCTTCAAGATGCCTCAATTTCGTTTTCAGAATAAAGCTGTTGAATTTCTTGAAATCCTTACTATTAGACACACCCTTGGTAAAATTGGATATATATCTGCTGAAAGAAACTATGTGGAAATGTTTGAAAGCAAAAAGAACTACATGCATAGGATTTTCATCTAACATAGTTCCTTTTGATTAAATCCATTTACTCTTATTTCCTTTTAGCGCAAGTACGTCCAATCCAAGGAAGAACGTTTTACCACCTGAAAAACATCTTTGAAAGTTTGTTTCATGAAAAAAGGTTTTTAAGCGGAAGTGAATGATAGAGTTTGAAAGTTTTTCATCGGAATAATTCCTCGAATGTCATTAGTATCAACGACCACCATGGATTTTACGCCAACAAACCATGAACTAAACTACATTTTGGAATTAGGAACTACTATTATGTTCTCTGTTTAGAAACAACATGTGTGCCATTTGTTTTTCTATGTAAATATGGACTTTTAAGGATGAACCAGAAGTAGTAGTTCCTAATTGCAAAATGTAGTCCAAATGGAAAATAATTGTGCAACCACCTAATTTAGAAACTTTTTTGTTTGTATTATTTGAAAAGAGACCACAAGGAACAGTTGAAATGATCTTACCTTGTGCAATAATTTGTTTTCTCTTTTAATAAGTTTGTTATTTGTATTAATATGACGAAAATTCAACAGGGTTTTTAAAGCTTTGTTCAGGACAAGTGTTCTACCTTCATCCTAGACTATCAGGAACCATCTGGCCAGCAAACCTAAAAAAATTAGGTTTGCTGGTCAAGGCCGAAATTTCGTTGGCTAGTTAACGTACGGCAGAAAGTTGTGGTAATAATAGCGACTTTGTTTTTCGATCGCTGATTAATGGTCTATACAATTGAGGAACTAAGGAACGCTTAAGCCTGCTGCCAAGAAAAGCTTATTTTGGGCACAGCTTGAGTTTAAAACATATCTCCCGACTCCTGTTCGAATTTAGAAGTTAGTTTTTGCAACTTGCGGTCGACTGCAGCCAACGAAATTCAGGCCCTAGAAAAGGTGCCGCATCAACAATTTTAGGGATCACAAAGATGATCCAGCAAGAAATTCTAGGCACAAGTTTACAGTAAAAATCATCGGCATGCCAATTTTTGTACGCATTTTTACGACCAGCACTCCCTTTTTCACAGGCATGGCTTATTATGTGTCTAAAGTCCAGAGAAGTTAGAACACTGTTTGAAAAGATTGTTGTCTTTTTGGAAGTTAAACAATCCATATCATTGTCCTCACAAGTTTGTAAAATAATCAATATTTACAGTGTAATTGATTGTCTAGGTGACTATATTTAAGACTAATGATGGACTCTAATTTACATGCACATAGGTATTAACGCCAACACTAGACAATTCAGTTTATATCAAAAGTGAATCTGTATGAGTGAAAACAAACCAACACAGAAAAATGAAAATATTTGTAAAAACACGACAAACTGTGCAGTAGGTGAAGACTTTATTCTAAGGGAAAGTTTTTTGGTGTCATAGAACCAGTACTTCGGGACACTTTAAAGGCCCAAGTTGATATATGTGCGACATCTTGAATGATTTTTATGAAAATTGGGCAGTTTTAAGTTTTGGAGTTGGCGTGTTTCCATTTTCATAATTAAATGGACCACTGGACAGGTGCAAAATTAGGCCCATAATTGTTGATATTTCCTTATGATAATTTTAACTTAATACAGTGGATGCATTAATACTTTCTAAATTCAATTCATAAGTTGGAAAATCGTGGTTTTAGTCTACGTTAGGTCACCATTTCTTCTCTTAGAAAAATCAGAATCCACTCAAGTGAAATTGTGCACTTTGATGATTTTGGTATATTTTGCGATGAGAAAATTTTCCTGTGCAATAACTTTTTTTTGACAGAATCAAAGATACCTTTTATTAGAGGAGGAAGGACATGTATGTGAAACTGAGTTCTAGTTTTCGTCTTACGAATGGGTTGATTTCAATGCCTAACTAAGCTTAAGTTGATCATAGTTTTATGGCAAGCAAGAAGTTTGAATTTTCTGTTTATAATTTAAACTACGAGCATTTCTTTCTCACCTATCAATTAATTTTGGAAGTTTTTATATGTTTACTTTTTGTGGAAGTTTTTAAAAAAAAATATGTGCTGTAGTTAATTTCTTACCCTGTTCAGTGGGCCATTGAATCATTGTTTCCTGATTTCTGTTCTGGATAACCCGTGGTAGATCTATTTGTAATTAAGTTAAGTGGATTCCTCCGTTGATATTTTCATGCCAGGTATTATACAAAATTTGCAAATGCAAGACAGAGCTTTACTGTAACTATTTAAGTTAGTTCGCTGAAATGCACGAATGCTACATTGCCTCAAAATCCTCTGAACATTAATATCTTGGTTGGACTTTAATTTCAGTAATTTTTGCTGTGCAGATTGTGTTCTAGATGTAATTTTGAGCAGGAAAATGTATCAGAATGCCGATTTTCTGTCATTTACAGCAAGTACAAAGTGAAAAAGAAAACAATTGAATGGGGCCTACATTCGTACATTGTCTTTTGGTCCATTTCAAATTTGGGTTGTTTCTGCAAATCTAAGGTTAAAGAGTGAAAGGTAAAAATTAAAGATGTCCAAGTGTTTAATTCTTGTGACGTTTCAACTTTACAGTATTTTACTGTTCTCCAAACAAACTAATCGTGCCAACTTTTTAAAGAGGAAAGCTAAACAGTTCATTTAATTTCACCATCAAAGTTACCTTAACCTGCCATTTACACAGCCCAAGTGACTGGAATTTTTCATTTTCAAATGGATAGAGAAAAGGGATGTTACATGATTTGTGCTGCCAAGTAAAGTCTTTGATTTTGAAAAAACAATTCAAAGGCTTGTGTTTTTCCAACCTTTTTTCTAAGCGCTTCATTTTGTTAAAGGTGCTCGAATTTTACCCTTTACCCATTTTTAACAGTAAAAGCTCAATCTAAAGGGGAAAAAAAGCTTTCAACAATAAATAGATCGTTTGGAAAAGACATTCGTCTTATGTACTAAATCGAGATCTGTCTTCAAATGAATTAGACATATTTTACTACAATTAAATAATTATAGAGAACCGCACAAGGCAACACTATAAAGTCAGGTAAATCTAGTAAGGAATCTTTTGTGTGTAAATTATCAATCTTGCACAATTGACAATTTATGTGCAAATGAGTATTTTTTACATTGTTTACATGCACATGGTTTTTGATTTTTTACCATACTTATTTGCTACATATTGCTGAACACTGAAATAGGTACAAGTTGCCATGTTTGCAGATGATAACGATTTAAAATAAGCATAAGGAAAAAAACTGGTAACATGTTATTATTCATGTGGTAAAAAGTTGAGGGAAGAGCTTGAAACTTCCTCAGGAAGTGCTTGATTTTCCATCTTAAGGTTGCGCGAACAATGTGTTAGGTTGTGAAATCAAACTTTCTTGTTTTTGAAAAAGCAAAAGTATTCTTGTAATTTTCTAGTATACATCCTAATTTCTCAGATCTGCCAAACCGTTTAAAATTTTTATGTCTGTTATCATCGTTTAGAACTTTTAAGTTTTTGATTATTAATTAACTTGTGAACGAAGACTACAGCTTTGAAACACACAGATACTGTGTCAAAAATATTTCATGGAAAAGAACTAAGTTAGTACTTACCTGTCCTAAAATTGTTGATTTTAATAAAAAAATAATTCAAAGAACATCAAACACTCTTAAGTGATTTTATTTTCAAACCTCCTTTGTTTCGTAAAGAAATAGAATGGATGTGCAGAAGAAAATGGCCTGCTTCAGTTCTTCTGAAAGTGACACAGATTGGGAAGGGGGGGAGGGGTATAGAATTCTAATGAGACCGTAGTGGGGGTATGGTCTTGGGAGGAGATTGCAGAAAAAAGTTGGCACAATTTTTTCGGAAGGTTGTAACGTCTTCAAAACGTAAAGTATGCCAAAAAGTCACAGAGATATGTGAATTGCACGGTCTAAAATTTGAAGGAACTTTGACGGGAGTAAACTTACTGCTGCTGAATTTACAGTCCCTAAAATTCCACTTCAGATCTTCCATCCGGAGAGAAGGGACCTATTGAGAAATTGGTTCAAAATTCGTCGCGCGAATTATATTCATTGGCCAGCAAATATGTCTAGATACAGGACTATTTTCAGTGAAAATGTCGCCATAACTTCATCAAAATGCATTCAAAAAGAGGAATAACACCCAAGTGTATATTCGATCTTCCCTGCAGAAAATCCAAGGTTTCCTATGAAGAGAATTAAGCCATAATTGTTTTTCACTGAGAGGAAGTCTCGCTGAAAGCTCTGAATCAGTATAAGCGTTTTAAATTTTCCTTTTTAAGAAGTTATGGCGCAGTAAATCAGTCACTTAAATAATTTATCATCCTGAAAGTTTAATAGTTCGTTGTGGCGACAACCTCTGGTGCATCACATTTCATCAAAATATGTGACTTGTATGTTTTTAATATTTTAGCGCTTTGGGTTATAAATATTATTTTACTCATTAAGTTTAAGTTTTTTATAAATCACATATATGTTAATATTTGGTTAGTAATTTTATTGGGTTTGTTTATTTTATATTCTCTAATACAGTGTATTGTGACTACGAGACTGAGACCAGACGCAATAAGTGTGGATCTAAGAAATTGGCTAGCACAGAATGATAAAATTAATTATTTCCAGAAAAGCGATCCAGCGAACCTTCCTCTTTTAAAATACTATAACCTAAACGTCACATTTTTTTTTCTTTTTTTTTTACCACGGGCACGAAAATATAAATCCGAATTCAAAATTTGATTCCCAAATTAAAAAATTTTCTCGTTTCCGAAAAATACGGAAAAATTCCTTAAAGGTCAATTGAAGGGCTTGGAGGACAAGGCGCATGAGAGCAGTTTTGGTATTTCAAGAGAGAAGTACCTATTCAAAGTTTCAAAATTACTTGGAGCATTACGGCGGACAGGAAGTTTAAATACAATTTTTGACCTTTAAAGTTGGATATTATAGTTTCGGATTTTTCACAGAATATATTTTCAAACTAGTTTTAGTTAAGGTCATGAATATCTCGATTTTTGCAAAAACTGCACTTAACGCACCTTGTCCTCCAAGCCCCTCAATACATCCCCTATATTTTCAGAATACGAATTTAAAAACATAAGTGCAAATTTTCCACATTGTTTGCAGGATTCTTAGTGCGGCCAGGGTCGGACTGGCCCACATCTGAGGGCGTAGACCCTTGGCTGGTTAAAGGGGCGTAATATGATATTTCCTGATAGGGCATCCCCCATGTGGAGAGGGGCTCAGAAAATTTTGACAAAGCAGCACAAGTTTACCCTATTTTCAGGTTCAAAGTTTATTAATCGTACAGAGTAAAAATTGCAAAATTAAACGTATTGAAGTAACCGTCAGACCTCTGAAATTAAAGAATACATAAAAATTAAAGCACCTACACGCATCCAAGCACCATTATTTCCAAAGAACCGCGCCAGTGCCAGTGACAGCATAGCAGAGCATTGAGAGCTCACGTTTCGTGTCATCGCGCCTTCAATTTTTCGGATGCAGCACGGACGTCCATCAAGTACGAATAGTTGTATCTCTGCGCCGTCGTGAACGCGCGTCCTTTCCCGCACTCTACTTCCACATTGTGTTTGTTTCCGTTTGTCTTCTTCGTAATTGTGCATTGTGCTTCGAGCCCTACGTGAGTAACACAGCCGAAGACAGGAAAGATGTGTTCGGGCCTCTTTTCCAACTTTTCCTCCGAATCTGAGTGACACCTCATTGACAGCATATAGCAGAGCATTGAGAGCTCGCACCCTTCGCGTCATCGCGCCTTCAATTTTTCGGATGCAGCACAGACGTCCACCAAGTACGAATAGTTGTATCTCTGCGCCGTCGTTGATGCTCATCCTTTTCCTCGCTTTATTTCGATATTATTTATATAGATTGTGTTTGTTTGCGTTTATCTTATTCGTAATGGTGCTTCAAACTAGTAGCATAGGGCGGAGCATTGCGAGTTTACGACTCACGCCATCGTCTTACATTTTTCATATGCAATGTGGACATCTATCTTGCGCGAATATAGCTGTATCGCGTTTACACTTTAGATGTCTCTTATTTTTGGATTTCGGAATAAATTAAGGTTAAGTTTGTCCGAGATATGCTGTGGTATGTCCAAATCAATAGTCTTTTGAAAAGGAAGAAATATTTGGACTGCGTTAAACAGAAAGGAACCAAGCCACATCAGCTATTGCCAAATTTAATCGGACAATTTAATTTTTTACATGAAAACGGTTGTGCGGATTTTTGTGCAAATTCCTATGAATTTTCTCTATAATGTATAGCATATTCCTTAAAATTTTCAAAGGAATCCGCACGAACGTTCTCTCGTAAAAAATCAAATGCCCGTGTTAAATTTGGCAATAGCTGATGTGGCTTTGTTCCTTTCTGTTTAACGCGCTCCATTTAGAGGTCTTTCAAGAGGTCTATAAAGGGTGAGTATGTCTATAAAAATCGGACCGACCATCGCCTCTAAGGGAGTTACACATAGTGAATGAAGGAAGGGTGTGATAAAGCGCCTGTACGTCAACTAAAAGGTGACAATTACACAAAAAAGTCTTTACGCTTCAGAAGGTAGTTCTTGAACCTCTGTTCGCCACTAGCATGCGTAAAAGCACCTTTCTTTACTCCTAACACTCTCTTCTTCCGTTTATTTAAGAAATTTTTCGCATATATTCTCGTTCGTAATTTTTCTCTTTTCTTATTTTGCTATCTGTCATAGGGGGGCGTTTTCGGCGCGCCAAGGGGGCGTATCTGCCAATGGCAGATTGGCCTTATGGCCAGTCCGAGCCTGAGTGCGGCGTCTAAAATACGTAACCGCTTGATGAAGTAGAGAGGAATTCGGATTTTGCATAATCCTGCAGAAAGAGCCCAAGAAGCATTTTTCAACGGAAACATTTTATTTATTTATTATTTATTTCAATTTCAACGGGACAAGTCCCAACTACATAACACTTAAATAAAAACAAATTCAACAAAACATACAACAAAACGGGGAAAGAGAGTGTGACTAATAAATAACTAGAACTCGTTCTTTCACCAAAGACTTAAAATTTGAGATACTTAGGCCGTAAAATTGGATCCATTCCGTACAGCTATTTGCAAAATCTGAAATTCTGGTATTTCTGGTAAACATCGCGACATTTTGAAATAAACTCAGTATAAAATTTACTCTCAGCATAAAGGGACACTACTATAGACCAGTCAAATTTCTCGCCGTTCAAGTTCGAAAAAGTCTCCGAGCACGGACATTGGGCAAGCTCGGCTCCGGCTGGTGCAAGAGCCAGAACCCCTGCCCACTCGCGATACCGAATGAATCGTCGAGAAATTAATCCTATTTCCATATGGAAACAGCTCCGACTCGTCCGTGGCCGTGCATAAACGCCGCTCATTACTCGCACTCGTCTCAATAATCCTCCGATTGTCCGCCCCCCCCTTCCGCTGGTAGGGACCTGTGGCGGCCCCCCGCGAGACGCAAGAATGCGAGGATTTAATTCTGCTGCGTGGATGCAGAATCCTTCGTGCCGGTCGCAGAGATGGACCCCGCGCAAACAAACGGGACGGACCCTCCACGAACGGTCCCGTTGATAAAAGCGTTGGGATTCCACGGATTCCCGATTTCGGTTCCATCATTTCGAGACATTTATTTTTGGCGAGTTTTTCGTCCGTGATCCGACACCCTTACCTAGTGTACCTGTATACTGCCGTGCTAAGGAAGAACTCCGTATGAGCCTTCAGACCTTGCCAGGTTTCCTTCAATAATAACCGCAATTACTGAGAAAATAGAGAAGTAGCATGTGTAAGGGATTTGCGATTTGACCAGAGCCGGATTAAGGGGGTGGCCACATGGGTCGCAGCCCATGGCGGCAAAATTTAGGGGGCGGCAAATTTTGCAATCTTTTTTAATGTATCAAAAGAAGAGAGAAAAAAATCGGATTCGGAGATTAAATTACAAACGAGAAAAGGCGACAAAATCTCTCATTTCCTGAGAGTAAAAGGCTAGTAATTTCTAATTTTTTCGTCTTTCGGTGATACAAGAGACAGCACCTTTAATTAGTCGAGTTAAGAGAGAAACCAAACACGCAATTTAATTTGACATGGAACGGAGCGGCGCGGTGGTCGCCATGAAACACATAGTGCCTACAAGACTGCATGAATACTTCACGTATTGCGTCAAACACACTGCGGTCAGCAGCAGTCGGCTTGAAACGCATAGCGCCTACAAGACTACATGAATACTTCACGCATCGCGCCAAACAGTGTGGTCATCAGCGGTCGGCATGAAACGCAAAGCGCCTACAAGACTGCATGAATACCTCACGCATTGCGCCAACACAGTGCGGTCGGCGCGGCGGTGGAAGTTAAAATTTTTAACCACATTTAGGTATGTTTGTTCTTTCATAATTTTTTCGTTTTTTTTTTTTTTTTTTATAAATGGAAGGCCTTTTCCAAACAGGGATGGGTTTACGGAACTGAACTTTTGTTAGTGTTGAAAGGGCTTTTACAAAAAATATGCGCAACACGAGGAAACGCGTGGGAGCAGAATAATACAGGCGGCCCAATCGGCCCATGGGTGGCTTGCAGGCGGCAATTCAAATAGATTTGTTTTTCTTTCTTTTTGTGACTTCCAGGGGGCACGTTGGCGCAGA